GGAGGGTTGGGAGCACTGCTCTGTGTTAAAGGGCCTCGGCATTAGGAAGGTTGGGAGCACTGCTCTAGAGGGTTGAGAAGATGACACAGAACCTTTACCTTTGACCTCACACAGACTCAGTCAGCCCCTTCAGTTTCCTCACCTGAAGTTATCTGATTTTGACATAACACAAACAGGGACACTGGAAGGATCAGATGAGATGCAAGGGAGAAGGTGGCTGAGAGCAAGGCCTGCACAGAGGGCATGGGCCCTCCAGTCTCCACTGGAAGCCAGGGAGTCCCTAGCCTGATAATCCTCGGGGTGTGCCATCTGAGGCTTTCATGTGTGGTTGGGCAGAATTTTCACCCTCACACTCTTAATCTTGTCAACACTCTACACAAACATGATGACGTTATTTTATTTTGCCGGAGGAATCTGAGGGATGCAGCAGGAGGTGAGCCCGGATGCCTGGCTGTGAGTCCAGCACCAATAAATCTGCCAGCTAGCATCCACCACCAGCCACATCCTCGAGTCACAGGCAGAGCAATAGCTTCTTTCCCAGAGCAACAAACTTAAAGGCTAAATCGGGGAACCTCTCTGGAATGCAGGGACATGTTTAAGGACATTGGAGCTGCCCTAGGAGCCAATTCCAAGGTCACTGAGGGCAAAACTCACCATCTACCAGCAAGGGCACAGTCCCAATCAGGTGATCACCCAGGAAGCATGAATAGTTGCCCGTGTCGTTGAGCTGCACTGCCCTCAGAAGCAGTGAGTTCCCCGTGGTAGTCCACCGTCTGTGCTGTGAGCCAGAGTACATCCAATGAATGGTGGCATTGCCTTCTGCTTCCTTCCCAGGGCAGACCAGGGTGACGGTGGCCCCGGGCAGGCTAATCACCGTATCATTTGCTACCTCTGCAGAAGAAAATACACAGAATGAGCCTCAGCAACCTGGAAATGGAATATTGCTTGTGATTTGGAGATGTCAAAGGCCTCCCGTGGTCCAGCCTGTATCACATTTGCTTGGTTTTCCAGACCACCCAGCTGTCTGCTAAAGTATACCTTCTCAAGCCGTGACCCAGCAACCCAGTTCCCTTGATTAGAAAGCCCTTTATGGAGACAGCTGTGGTGTCTCCCATAATCCCAGCACTTGGAAGACAGAGGCAGGTGGACCTCTGTGAGATCGAGGCTGAGGTCTCAAATTGGTCTACATAGCAAGTTCTGGGACAGTCAGAGCTACTTTGTGAGCTTGCCTTAAAGGAGAAAACAGACAAAAGCATGACCCTGTCCACAGAATGAAGATCCAGATGATCCGTAGGACCTAGGGCGCCTTCCACCCATTCCTGGCCTCTGGGCCTCCTCTCGCCGCCAACTGGGAAGGTCCAGAGTGTCGCTCTCTGTGCTGTGCTCTGCCTGGGTCCTAATGCTCCCCTTCCCGGTCCCAAGCCATCCTCACAACAGAATATCACGTGCATTCCAGGTCTCAGCCTCACACCCTGCCCTAAGCGCTCTTCCCTAGCCCTAGCTGGACGTAAGCCCGTATTTACATCAGCTTCCCCTCTCTGCCACCCACCACACAGGTCACACAACCAAATGCAAATCTGTCTTTACCTCAAGACTTTACCACAGAGCCAGCAAGATGGTTCAGCAGGTACAACCGCTTGTCATGCAAGCCCGAGGACCCGAGATGGACAAAGAGAACCAACTCCCCAAGTCGTCCTCTGAGCACACGTACGCTATGGCTGGCACACACACACACCCCCATACACACAATAATATTATTATTTATGCTTTATTATTAAATAAACATTAAAAATAAGCTGAGCGGAGGTGGCATATGCCTTTAATCCCTGCACTCAAGAGGTAGAGGTAGGTAGATCTCTGAGTTCAAGGCCAGCGGCCAGCCTGGTCTACATAGTAAGTTCCAGGACAGCCAGGACTACACAGAGAAATCCTGCCTCAAAACAAAAACAAAACACACACAATAAAGAAAACTACTCCCTAACTTAAAAATAAAGAAAGAAAAGGAAGGAAGGAAGGAAGGAAGAAAAAAAGACTCCAGGTACCACAAAAGCAAGCACCCTATTTTATGTGAGTGTCTAGAATAGTGCCTGGCACATGGCGGCCACCCTCTTGCAACTGACAAAACGCACAGGTGAACAAGTGGAATTCACCCAGCAGGAATCCAGCATGCGCAGACACCAAAGTCTCAGTGTCGCAGGGCGCACACGGGCCCAGTCTACAGATGGAAACCAACATAGAGGATTAGTATTGGTGAGGAGAAAAGAGCCAGGGCTTTGGACTCTCTGCTCCAACCAGGAATCTAAACACCCACTTATCTTATAAACATCTGGGCACAGTTGTTTTTATTCTAGGAACCAAGTTGGAAAGTAAAAACTAACAACACATCTTTTATTCCCTGAAAAAAAAAATTATGGGCTACACACAAGGAAAAAAGAGACTAAAGATTCAAGAAACACTGAGTCAGGCAGGAACAGTGACTCATGTCTGTAAACCCCACAGTTGGGAGCCTGAGGCAGGGAGATCACCAAAGGCTAGCCTGGGGCGTCTCAACCCACTTAGTTCAGATTAAGAACTCAGAGAATCTAACATAAAAATGAGACCAAGTGCCTGGGTATAAATTAACACCACTGGCTGGGGAGATGGAGTCTAGGAAACATGGCCTTTTCAGGTTAGGCATGTGTGACTCTTCAAACCAAATGTCACCAAGCAACAACAACACACCGGGCCAAGTGTAAAACGCCAAATGAAGACGGTCCTGTAGCTCCCGCCACTACAGGACTGCCAGGAACTAAGCTGGAGACTTAAAACCACATGCACACACAGACAGAGACACAGGGGAGGGGGAGAGACGTGGACACGGTCATCCTTGACACAAGAACGCTCAGGGGCAGCTTATATAGGGATCCCTAGCCACACCCAGCTCTCGGAACCTTTCAGCTGCAGGCCCATCAGTCTGCCATCAGGGTCTCCTGCTCAGAGCAACTGCAGGCAATGAAAGTCAAGGGGCCTGGGATCTATAGCTCCCAACAGCCAAGGATTCAGAAAAGCCACCTGCTGCCAGAGGGCCTGATCTCATGTCCCTCCATGTGCTCCGGACACTGAGGATAAACACAAGAGTCTCGTTTTCTCTGGTGCTTGGCCTGTTCTTTCTTGTCAAGCCAGGGCAACCTGACTGTCCGCAGCAGCCCAGGGTTCGGGTACCCTGCATCAGAGAATCAGGGCTTCTGCCTGGCTACACGGACGCCCTTCATGCCTCGTTCCCACTTTACCACCTGGAAGATGGTAGGATAAGCGCAACACCAGAATGGTGGTCACTTTGCTTTTCTCTTTACCTCTTGAGTCTTTAGACTTTGGCTGGAGAGATGGCTCAGCGGTTAAGAGTACTGACTGCTCTTCTGAGGACCCAAGCTCTCCTAGCACACACATAGGGCAGCTCACAACTGCCTATAACTTAAGCCGGTTCAGAGGAACACACACACACACACACACACACACACACACACGGTATACACTTATAGACATGTATGCATGAATAAAAATAAAACAAATTAATTTAAAGAAATAGGAGAACACCTTTAATCTTCTTCCTTCTCCATCCTCCTCTATCCACCTCTTTCCTCCTCTTTTCTCTTCCTTCCTCCTCCTTCTACCTCCTTTCTCCTCCTCCTCTACCTTCTTTTCTGATTTTTTTTTAAGACAGTGTTTCTCTTTGTGTCCTGGAACTCAGAGATCCGCCTGCCTTCTGCCTCCAGAGTACTGGGATCAAAGGAGTGGGCCACACCACCCAGGTTGGCCTTTAATAGAGGCTAAGTGGGTCTCTGTGAGCTCTAGAACAGCCAGGGTTTCAAAGTCTAGACCTTGTCTCAATAAGATAAAATTAAATTGAATTAAAAATAAATAGCAGCTTGTTACCTCAGCCAGGTGGGTCTGAGGAGGTTCCCTCGACCTCTCTGGCCCATAGTGCGTAAGGAAGCCTTCCCCGGGTCAACCAGCATTCAAGCTGGGCTTTGCTTTGTCTTGTGTTTGAGACAGGGTCTCCTGCAGCCCAGGCTGGCCTCAAGCAGTTGGGGGTGACCTTGATACACACCTCCACCTTCTGAGGGCTGGGATTACAGGCAAGTACTTCCACGCCTGGCCTGAATGAGGTGAAGTTTAGCTCGCCCAATGACCCACCAAATTACCATATCAATATTCTTCGCCTTCCATTTTCCATTGGATAAAGCAGCTATAAGGATAAAACTTAGCACAGGCATCAAGTTCATGCATTTATTTTCCACATGTAGGAGCTCAGGTAGAAACGCCGACAAGAGAGAGCTCCCTGCTGGCCGACGGCTCCGCTGCAGTGCGGGCAACAGCCCTCTGCCAGCAGAAGAGAAAACAGAATTCACAGGGCAGTCTGGCAGTACCAGGGCACAACAGATACAAAGTAGTGTTCACGAAAGTCCAACAGCCATGGACAGCTCATGCTTTCTTTGGCATTTGCACACGCCACTGTCCTGAACTAGTCACAAGATGTCTTGGTCAACCACAGGCCACACAGAGTAAGGCCCCGTAAGATAATTAGTGTGGTTCGTGGCCAGGGATGTAGCCATCATGAGGTCACACCACACACGATACGTACATGTTCGCAGTGCCGTTGGTGTGCCCCAACTGCTGAGTCAGATAAAGGAGGCTCAGGAATCAGCTCTGGCGTATGGTGTGTTTACCTCCCATCTCCTTTTCAAGTTTTAGCCAGGCACAGTGTTCTATTGCTACAGAGACACCACAACCAAGGCAATTCTTATAAAAGACTGGAGGCTTGCTTACAGTTTCAGAGTTAATCCATTACCATCATACCAGCAGGTCCTGGAGCAGCAGCTGAGAGTTTCCTATACTGACCTGGAGGGGGGGGGGAGGGGCTGCACCTACCCCTGGTGACACAACTTCTCCAACAAAGCCACACCTCCTCCGAGGCCACACCTTAGGAATATGTGTGACTTAACCCTTCCCCAGCAGTGCCACTAACTGAAGACTGAGTGTGCAAACACACCAGCCATTCAAGCTCCACAGCATCTGTAATCCAAGCACTTCTGAGGTGGAGGCAGGGGGATCAGGAGTTCTAGACCTTGCTCTCCTATGGATCCAGCCGAAGGCCATCCTGGGTTATCAGAGACTGACTCAGTAAGACAGAAACAGCAGGCCAGCAAAAGGGCTCAGTGGGTAGAAACGCTTGCACAAAGTCCTGACAACCTGAGTTTCATTCCTGGATCAAAGATCCCTGGATCCGAGTTGGCAGGATAGGACTGACTTCTCAAGATTTGTGTCCTCTAGTGTCTACATGTGTGTGTATCTGTGTGCATAAAACACACACACACATAATTTAAAAAAAAAAAAACAGAGCTGGGGAAATGGCTTCATCTGTATGTTTACCACACAAGCAGGAAGCCTTGAGTTTGATACCCAGCACCCATGTGACAGCTGGGTATAGCAGCAAGTATCTGTAATCCAGTGCTAAGAAGGCAGAAGTAAGAGAACCCCTAGTTAGTCAACCTCGCTGAACTGGCAAGCTCCAGATCCAGTGAGACACCCTGTCTCAAAAAGTAAGGCGGTGAGAGCCAGCGAGCTGCCTCAGCTGGGGAAGGCACTCACTGACGAGCCTGAGAGCCGGGTTTGACCCCTGGAAGCCATGGGTGGAAGGAGAGCCAACTCCTGAAAGCTGTTCTCTCACCTCCATGTTCACAACACGGGATATGTGCACCGCACACTAAATAAAAACAGGCGTGATTTTGTTATTGTTTTATATTCTGAGACACGGTTTCTCTGTGTAGCCCTGGCTGTCCTGAAACTCACTCTGTAGATGAGGTTGGCCTTGAACTCAGAGATCTGACAGCCTCTGCCTCCCAGGCTCTGGG